CCTTTTTTCCCCTTCTCCGCATCCCCTGGTGATGCTGCGGCCCCTCGGAGGGGGCACAAAGGCAGAGCCCCTCGCCAGCCGGGGGGGGCTCAGCTGTTGTCCCCGCCAGGCGTTTGCAGGGATGTGCCCGGGCTGGGTGCGGGCAGGAGGCAGCGGGGTGGGTTTTTCCCCCTCCTTCAGCATCTCCTTGCTCTGGGAGGCCTGTCCGACCCCCTGCTGCACCCATCGACCCCAGGATGGCACCGAGAGGGGGGGGAATTACTGAACCTGCCCCGCAGTGAGAGCTCAGGGGGAAGAGCAGAAGGAATTTCCATCTCTGCCAGCAAGGGATGACAGTCACATCCTGGTGGTGCTCGGCCATGACCTGCATCCCCCCTTGCAGCCCCACTTTGTCCTCTCCTGCTGCCAGCAGGGTCCAGTCCCTGTCACAGCTCAAACCCCTGGCCCAGGAGCTGGAGGGGTCCCCGTGGGGGGACGATGCTGACCCACCTGATAGTGAAGGACAGAGCTGTGGGGACAGGGTGGGATGGAGATGGAGATGGGCAGGGAGGGGTCTGCTGCTCCAGCACCAGAGCAGCCACCTGGTTTGTCCCCATGCATGCTGTTACCTTCTTCCTGTAGAACATCAGGGTCAGTGTTACTAATTGCACTTTGGGTGAGATTAATTACATTAATCCTCCTTCCTGCTGCCAGTGGCTGGTCCTGCTTGTGTGTGAGGGGCCAGGGGGGACAGGACATGAGATTTGCTGCCTTGCACGATGCCTTCGGCCTCCCCCAGTGCCAGGAGGACTCAAAGCCAGAACTGAACCTCTGCTTTGTGCTCTTCCTTGTCCTCAATTACACCAAAGCTTCCCCAGGGAAATTTTTTTTTACTTAAGCAGAAGAGTTGCACTGAGACAAGTGAACTGAGGCAGGACACTCGAAAATCCTTGCTGGGACAAAAAACAAATGCAGCAACATAAATTTGGAGCAGTTTTCTGGAGACGGACGCAGGGTGAGGCTGCACTGAGTTTGTGCCATGAAGGGGTTCACTGCAGCCATGTCGAAACAGGCTTTACTCCTTTGCTCCAGCAATTTCTGATTTCATTTTTACAAGCAGTAATTACTTTCAGCCTCCCAACAAAACCAGCTTTGAAGCAGCCAGCCGGAGCTTTTTACTTAGAAAATAGTGAAGTGGAACAGCTCTGGCTGCTCCAGCGCTCAGAAGTGACTGATGCAAAACTTGGCAGCCCCTTTCCCAGCCCAGTTCCGACCATTTGATGTTTTCCAGGCTCCTGTTGGCAGCAGAGAAGGACCGAGAGGGAGGGCAAAGTGTCTGCAAGTGCTGGTGCCCCTCCTGGGATGGGGTAATTCGCTTTCCAGTGGCATCTCTCCTTCCTGCTCCATCCCAACCCAAGACCAGAGACCCACAAATCCCATAGACCTATTAAATCCTTACATCCTCCTGCAATTTCCTCAGTGAAATAACCACTTGGATCCATCTCAGTGGCTTAACTGAGACCGAGTGAGTGCTGAGTGGTTCCTTTGGTGGCATCTCTGTGCGGGTCCTGCCATGAATTCAGGAATTCTGCAATGGCTGGGAAGGGCAATGGGATGCTTGCAGCATCTTGCCACAGACCCAAAGGTGCCCATTTGTTCTGTTTCCTCCTGGTTTTGCTCTTGAGGGTTTAATACTGAGTAATAGAAAAGCAGCAGGGATCCTAGCTTGGATGAGGATGGGCTTTTAACTGATGAGACCTCGGTGTCACCTTCCTTCGCCGCATTATTTTACACCCCGTGTCACCTTTCAGGGCAAGCTGGGCAGTTAACCTTTGTGCCCAGCAGCACCAGGGAGGTAGTTCATTAGAGCAAATGAATTTGCAGAGTGGAAATGATGGATGGGCTCAGCTTGGAAAATCAAGCAGAGCTGGAGATTGCTGGAGGAACAGAGGAGGGTAAAAAATGTCACTTCTCTGGACTTGGTCTGGCTAACGAGGATTTCTTGATACACCAAAGGGGTAGAGGTTGTGACAAAGCAAGACCTTCCTGAAATGCCCTGATTTTTGTAGGAAATGTTGATGAAAATCAGTGCCATCCTGTATCATTTATTTTCCCAGTGGTTTCCACCTCCCTTGTATTTTGGCAGCTTGTGCTGCCCAAACACTGCTTATGTCTCTCACCCCACAGGATGTGGCATTTCCACCCTGTTTCTCTATCCTGGAGAGTTTTTGCTCAAATTAGAGCTGGTTTCTCTTCATCCACTAAGTTTTCCAAGCGGGAAGAGTCCTGGGGTGCATGGCTTTAAATAACTGCCTGATTCTGTGGCTCAGTGGTTCCATGGCTCAAGGATTCCATGGCTCAAGGATTCCATGGCTCTATGTTGCCACTCGGTCACCTTTTGTGTACCTGGCGCTGGTGCACACTGGGTGCCCCTGAGCAATCTGGGTGCCCCTGAGCTCCTGTCAGTGAGGGCTGAATCGGTCCCCCTCATTGATCTGGAGGTTCAGTTATCCCCCACAAACCAGTGACTGATGTGAGGACTGACCAGAATGCAAGTTCCCAACATAACACTTCTGGGAGAGTGACAGGAGCGATGGCTGAGTCCCAGCGCATCCCCCTAACAGTGAGAACATTTTCCCCCCATATCCCCTTGGCGTTTCCCTGGGACGCAGCAGGATGGTCCGTGGGTCATGACTGGCACCAAGCAGGGCTCTGGGGGCATCACTGGTAGGAGCACGGAGGCAAAATGGTTTAAAGAGAGAAAGTGACTTTTCCTATGTGGCCTGAGGGGCTTGGAAAGAAGCGTCTCCCAGATTGCTCTGTTTATTCCCACTCCAATCCCTGCCTGTCGAGCTTGAGTTGTGATTTTATCTGAGTTGTGATTTTATCTAAATCATTATTTTATTTAAATTGCAATTTAAAGCAGATTTATTAGCCCTTTTGTCTGGCACCTGTGCCAAGGTTGAGGTTTGGGCTGTTTCTGGCAAATCCGGAGGGGAGCAGGATGTGTTGCTAAGAGGGGAGGGAGGGTGGCAGAGGTTGTCACTGGGAAGAGGACGGGGAAGCCACGGGCGCGTGATGACCCGGCTGCCGGGAAACGTGGGCGAGTCCTGGGAGCTGATGGGGAGGGAGCAACAAGTCGGCTCTGAAATTAGTACTCAGGGAGCAGCAAACTCATTTCCAGACAGGTGTGGTTGTTCCTCTTGCTCATCCAAGGAACTGGTGCCTGGGAGGCATGTGCTTTCCCCAGCGTCGCTGCTGCGTGGTGGCAGGTGGTGCCACTCAGTCCAACCAGGAATTTGGGGGTTGAAAAGCAGATTTCACCTTAGCAGTTTGAATCATCATAAATTCTTTATTCTCTAGTTTTTCAATAAATCTTCATGGTTGATGCAGCATTGTTAGGACAAGGGGCTGTGAATGCCAGCACAGCATGGGCAGCTTTACTTGACAATTACAGGTCTGGTTGTTTTGGGCTGTGTCCCAATGCACAGTGTAGCTCTGGCCTCTTGAATTTCACCCAACAGCCTCTTCCTTCAGGTTTCTCAGTATTTTGCTCTTCAAACTCCTTACTGGAGGAAAAAAAAACCAGTAAAAAGAAAAATTGGCTTCATCCTGGCTCAAACCAGGACATTCAGAAATGGAGAAACTGGGTGTGAATCCCAGCGTTGTTCTGATTCTCTGTTTTGTTTTGTTTTTTAACAGTTTTTGGGTGCTTTGATGACAGCAACGGGCTTGCAAAGAACCTCAGCAATTCAATAGTCCCAAACGATCCCCTTTGTGCCTTTAATAAAGGAATAATTGGAGAACTCAGGAAAACTAAAGGGTATTTGGTCACTGCAGAGACTTTCTTTGGGTGGCTGAACAGATTCGGGTTTGCGTGGATGAGTTATTGTCCATGCATACAAGGAAGGAGAAACCCAGCAGTGCTGATGTATTTTCTTCAGTATTTGAGGCATTCATAGCAATCAAAAGACAAAGTGCAGCCTCAAGAGGGGAAAGAGAGATCAAGTGTCTCGAGGAGGCCCTTTCAAAGCTGCAGTTGTGACTCCAGCATGAGATGTGGTTGGGTTTTTATTTCTTTGAATGCTCCAGTCTCCTTCCCCAGCCCTGGTGGCAACGGGAAAAGAGACATAAAAAGATGTATTTCTGTTTGCTCTTGGGGTTCTCTTTTGGCTTTTAAGGCCCAGAGGCTCATCCTGCAGCACTGGCAGTGGCGTTTAGGCTGGGCAGGGCATTAGTTCTCAGCCGTTTGCTTTCCCAAGGGGAAGAATCCCCACGTTTGCAGCAGGGGCAGCCCGGGCCTGGCTGAAGCCGGAGCTTTGCCCTTGTAGGTTCTTGGGAGCCTTTGGAGGTTGTTGGTGGTCACGTCCTGTGGCCAAGTGCCATCTAGTGAGCCCTGCGGGTATCACGTTTGGAGACTGAAACTCGCTGGGATCAAAAGGACAGGTTTGGGGTTTTTTCAGTTTGGAAATACCTCCTTTTTCCTTTTTTTTTTTTTTTTTTTCTTTTGAAAGAAACCTCAGGAGCAAAGCAGGAGGCTGCTTTGCTGCTTTTTTTTTTTTCCTTTTTTTTGTCTGAAACACTCAGCTCTCTGCCCCCTGTAGTAAATACTTCTCAACTCCTATTGTATACAATATAGGTGATGATACGGGCTGTTTTATGTGGGTACAGGAGGAAAAAACCTCCTACAAGTGCATGTTTTTGGGGCCGTGCCTGGAGGAGGAGGCACATGGAGGCATGATGCTGGTGGTCTGGTGTGGACACGGGGTGGATGGTGGTCAGGAAGGACATAGGGGAGCTCTGTACACCCAACCCCAACTTTCACCTTCTCCTTGCTAACCAGAGACATGATGAGGAGGCTGTGATTGACCGGGGAAGAACAAGCAATGTTGTCAATATTCACTATGAGAAGGAGGAGCTGGAAGGTGAGTCTCTGCTGAGATCCAGGTAGAGAAGCAACCGGCCCCACGTGTTTTCCCACCACACAAAGCCCCCACAACATCCCTTGGCCAGTGTCACATCATGTGCAGCAAAATGTGCTGTGCTGCTTCATAAAGCAGCACAGTTACTTTCACATTTTTAAATATTACAGCTTTTAAACAGAGGGGAAGAGGCCCTGCAGAGGCCACGGCATGAGTTTTAGCCCTGGGGCGGAATAATTCATGCTTGTTTTCTCCAAGAGGCTGCTCCTGGCTCTGGAGAAGTCAGGAGAGTAATTTGATGGGGCTGTTATTTTCCTTTTTTGTTCTGAAGTTCATTATCATGGGACTGATTTGATCCTGTTGCCTCCTGCCTTTCAAAGATTGTAAAAATAATTGCCTTCTGTCACTGCTTAATGAGCAAGTCTGAGCATTGTCCAGCTGAAGCTGGAGCTTGAGAAGAGGTTTGATGCTGTCAGAGGGCACTGTTAGATGACCCAGAGCTGTCACTTGTTGCTCGTTTTTTTGGTGAAGTTTGAGTAAAATTGGCTTGGCAACAGAAGGTCCTAACTTGGAGTGTTGTGTCCAGTTCTGGGCTCCCCAGTTCCAGAGGGATGGAGATGTACTTGAGAGAGTCCAAGGGAGGCTACCAGGATGATGAAGGGGCTGGAACACCTGCCTGAGGAGGAAAGGCTGAGATACCTGGGGCTGTTCAGCCTGGAGAGGAGAAGACTGAGGGGGGATCTAATTAATGTCCATAAATACATGAGGGCATCAAGAAGGCAGGGACAAGTTCTTGTCACTTGTGCCCTGTGATGGGATGAGGGGCAATGGATCCAAACTGGAGCCCAGGAAGTTCCACCTCCAGATGAGGAAGAACTTGTGTCCTGTGAGGGTGGTAGAGCCCTGGGACAGGCTGCCCAGAGAAGCTGTGGAGCCTCCTTCTCTGGAGACTTTCCAGACCTGTCTGGATGCCTTTCTGAGTGACCTGCCCTAGTTGTGTGTGTTTTTTTGGTCCTGCTCTGGCAGAGGGATTGGACTCGATGATCTTTGGAGTCCCTTCCAATCCCTAATATTCCGTGATTCTGTGAGGACAATGAAGAGAAGTTGGTGTTTCTCCTGAGATTTGGCTCAGTGAGGCACCGGCCATGCCACCCATTGCTGCAGTGCCCCACGTGCTGCACCTGCTGCTTTGTCACAGGCCACCGGACCCTGTACGTGGGCGTGCGGATGCCCCTGGCGCGGCAGAGCCACCGGCACCACCGGCCCCACGGCCAGAGGCATCGGAAGCGGGACCGGGAGAAGGACCCAGCCCCAGCAGAGCAGGGCTACCACTGTAAGTCCCAAACTCCTTGAGGCTCTGCTGGGGTATTCTGCAAGCAGGTCCATGTGGCCAGTTGCAGTGTGTGGGAAACTGTTTAGACGTATGTAGGGAAGAAGAAGAACGGTTTCCCACAGAATGACTCGCTGTTCTTGCCAGGGAAAGTGGTGTTATTTAGCAAAACCCCCTTTTCCCAGAATTTCACAGGTTTTCACAGTTTTTTAAGGCATAATGACTTTTGGTTCCTGGTTTTAAGAAGGGAAACAAGGAAGGAAAGCAGCCTCTCCTTATGCAGAGGTGGAATAGATGCTCTGTGGGAGCCCAGACAGAGCCAGGGCAGCAGGGTCAGCCTGATATTTCTGGCTGAACTAGTGCCAGTCAGATGTCCCCTTGGTGTGTGAGTGTGACGGGCCATGTTCAGGCATGGTAATGGGACAGGACTTTGTCTTCTGCCCCAAGACACCCCGTCCCAGCGGGTGCAGTTCATCCTCGGGACCGAGGAGGACGAGCAGCACGTCCCCCATGACTTGTTCACCCAACTGGATGAGATCTGCATGAAAGACGACGAAGGTGCTGAGTGGAAGGAAACAGCAAGGTAAATCCTGCTTCTGCCTGCAGTGGGAGAGGAGTCCCCTTGGGCTCTGCTTTCCACTCTCTGGGATGTGAAGGTTTAGCATCTGCAGGTGCTGGTCTGAGGAGCCTTCTCCTCTTGCCCCTGCAGCTCTGTCAAAGGGGTTGCAGAGCTGGGATGGTTTTCTTGCGATGGGGCTGATGGCGCCCGATTTCCGCAGGTGGCTGAAGTTTGAGGAGGATGTGGAGGACGGTGGTGAGCGCTGGAGCAAACCCTACGTGGCCACCCTGTCCCTGCACAGCCTCTTCGAGCTGCGGAGCTGCATCATCAACGGGACGGTGCTGCTGGACGTCTGTGCCAACAGCATCGAGGAGATCGCAGGTACCGCGGGCGCCGCGGCCCTCGGGACGGGCTGAGCTCGTCTCACCGCCCTGCCCTTCCCTCCCAAATCACTCCCTGCCCCAAAGGGGGGTCCTTTTCCAGAAATCCTGCTGGGATTTGAAGTCTTGAGTTGGTTTGGGGTGTAGGCTGGGCTTGCGACTGTCGCACCAGCTTTTTCTTCCGTGAGAGGATCCTTTAGAAAGGAATCTGTGCAGTTCAAGAAGGGGTTAGAGAATATTCTGGAGGCAGAAGGGAGCGTGTGTGTCAGGGCTTAGGAGGCTCTTAGACAATATCTGCAGAAGAGCTGAACCTCCTTAAATAAAGCATTTATTACAAGCTGTTTCCTCACATTCTTTTTATGTTTGTTTTGTCTGAACATGCAGGAGTCAAAACTTTCAAAGGCAGAGTTTGTCTGGCAGAGGAGCAAGCAGTGTGTTTTGGTGGGGAAGATAAGTTAACTGAAAAAGCAGCTTTGGAGAAATGGTCTTTGACTGGCAGGTCTCCATTCAGCCCTTTCAAGAGCTGGAGCAGTCAGGGCTGTTCTTAGCATGTTTCTCTCTGGACTCAGCAAGTTGCAGTTGATGGGCCAAGGAAACTCTGGGAAAGTCTCTGCTCTAGATGGCTTCTGATTTGGTTAAAGGTGTAGAGCAGACAGGAAGGACAGATGGGGCAAGGAGATTGCCTTTGTTAGAGTGGGGAATAATTATCTTATCAGAATAATGAATAAACACTTTGATGGTGTTTTTTTAGCAAAAGAAAAGTCTTGCTTTTGCTGCGAAGGCTGAACTGTATTAAAATGTCTTGTCTAAGCCAGGCTGAGCCCGTGTTAAGTTATCCTGTGTGGAGCAGCCTTTCCCGGGAGCTGTGGGGATCAAACCTGGGGGATTTCTGCTTTGACAGCTTCATTTCCCTCTGCTACCCCCAGACATGATCCTGGGCCAACAAGAACAGTCTGCAGAGTTCGATGAACACGTGCGGACCAAAGTCCGGGAAGTTCTTTTGAAGAAGCATCATCACCAGCATGAGAAGAAAAGAAACCTTCTCCCCATCGTCCGCTCGTTTGCTGATGTGAGCAAGAAGCAATCAGACCTGCACCACCTTGACAAGCCAGGTGAGGGGTCCTGCAGGGCTTTGGCACCAAGGGAGGGTTCCTGCAGGGTTTTGGCACCAGAGGAGAGCTCCTGCAGGGCTTTGCCATCAGGGAAAGGTTCCTGAAGGGCTTTGGCACCAGGGGAGGGTTCTTGCATGGCTTCAGCACCAAGGAAGGGTTCCTGCATGGTTTTAGCACCAGATAAAAGTTCCTGCAGGGCTTTGGCACCAGGGGAGGGGTCCTGCAGGGCTTGGCCCCATTAGGCTTGTCCTGGCAGAGGAAAAGGATCCCAGTTACTCCTTGCCCATCTTTCTGATTGTCTTTTTTTTTCTTACCAGCCCAAACACTCACCCCTCATCCTTCTCCCACCACCACAGAAGCTAAAAATGGGCTGAACCAGGAAGCTGGTGCAATGGATTTAAGCAAGGTGGGACACTCGTTGCATTCTTAGGCCTTCAGGGCCAGATTTGCTCTTGCAAACTTGGCTGCAGAGCATCCTGCAAAGTGCTGTGGGCTTTGCTTTTCTGGTAACTGCCTGAAAGTCACTTGTCCTGCCCAGGCGGAGCTGCACTTCATGAAGAAAATTCCCACCGGGGCTGAAGCTTCCAACGTGCTCGTAGGAGAGCTGGATTTCCTTCACCAGCCCATTGTGGCCTTTGTCCGCCTGACCCCGGCTGTCCTCCTCCCGGGCATGACCGAAGTTCCCATCCCAACAAGGTCCAAATGAGAACCACAAAGTTTTTATTTCAAAAAACCCCAACAAACCATCAAATTGCATCAGTTTGGCATCCCGAGGGAGCAAGGCCAATGGGAGCAGGCATGTTTCCTCCACCCTCATCTCCTCACCTTTGCTTCTCCCTTCCCTGCTGTAGCTTTTAAACCCATTGGCCAATTTTAGTGGAAGTTGGCCCAACGTGCCATCAGTTTTGATGAATTTCAAATTAATCAGAGGAGTCAGTGAGCCTGCGTGTCCCCTCTGGATCCGTGCCCTGGGGTGGGAGCTCCCGGGAATTTCCTTGGTGCCCTTTGAGCATGGACGTGTTCTTCTCTCTCATTTTGTTTTTCTCACTCAGGTTCCTGTTTGTTTTGCTTGGACCAGGAGGAAAAGCCCATCAGTACCATGAGATTGGCAGGTCCATGGCTACTATCATGACGGATGAGGTGTGATGAGATAAGAGATCTCCCTGGTCATTGCTGGCTGTCTTCCCCCTCCCTGTAGCAGTGAGGAGGAGGAGTTGCTGTCCCGGCTGCCCGCAGCTCTCCAAACAGCCAACCCCACCTTTCCCCTCAAAGCAAACACGTGGTTTTCCATCACTCCATGTCGTGGGGGCTGAAATCCCACCTGGGTGCATCCTGCTCCTTGCCCTTCTCCCCAGGGTCTTCTCCCCTTCTCACCAGGGTCTCCCCAGGGAATGGGACCTTGTGCAGATGGTTACAAGTACCGTGCTGCACAGATTTTTCTTTTTGGGGCAATATCTCCTGTCAGTTCTGGGAGGAAATTTGGGGAAAATCATCTTACATTTAGCCCAGAACTTATTGCACCGCTTGGGAGATCCAAGGTGGGGTTGTCCTCTTGGCAGGTGTTCCATGACGTTGCCTATAAAGGCAAGAACCGGGCTGACCTCGTGGCTGGCATCGACGAGTTCCTGGACCAGGTGACAGTGTTGCCACCAGGAGAGTGGGACCCATCGATCCGGATTGAGCCCCCGAAAAACGTCCCCTCGCAGGTGGGCGCTGCAGGGATGGAGGGACCAACAGGGCTGGGGCTGCTGCCCAGGGTCCCTCACCTGGTCCCGCTTTGACATCGTCCTGTACCCACAGAGCAGAAGCACAAGCAGCCCCTGGTTGCCTATCCGTGTCTTTGATCTTTTCTCTGTTGGAGCAGGAGAAAAGGAAGATGCCGGGAGCTCTGGACGACGGCGCCGCGCACAGGAAGCCCGAGAAGCACAGCGGGCCGGAGCTGGAGCGGACGGGAAGGTGTGAGCTTTAAGAGTTTGGGGTTTGTTTCTGGTCTGCCTCTGAAAGCTGAGCGTGCACCTTGCCTTCCAGCAGGTTTCTGGGGTGAGTTGGCTCAGGGAAGGGGCTCCACTGAAGCAGCTTGGTCCCCGGGGCTGGTGTCGCGGCGGAGGGGACACCACCCAGCACTCATCCCTCCTCCCACTGCAGGGCAGGGGAGGGAACATCCGACTAAAAACTCATGGATGGAGACAAGGACAGGGGGGGTCCACTCACCAGTTATGGTCATGGGCAAAACAGACTCAACCTGGGGAGAAAAAAAAAGCAAAACCAATTGAATTTATCAGAACAGGAGAAAGAGACAACAAGACCCAATCTTAAATACCTTCCCCCACCCCTCCCAAATTACTTCCCTCCCCATTTCTCCACCTCCTCCCCCCACAGCACAGGGGGACAGGGAGTCGGGGCTTAGGATCAGTTCATCACACATTGATTCTGCTGCTCCTTCCTCCTCAAGGGGAAGACTCCTCACAGCCTTCCTCTGCTCCTCCACGGGTCCCTCCCATGGGAGAGGGTCCTTCACCAACCCTCTGACATGAGTCCCTCCCACCAGGTGCAGCCCCTCAGGAGATGATCCAGCCTGGGCTGCCCACAGAGTCATGGGCTGCCTTGGGAACAGACACCTCCCCTGGTGTGGGGTCCTCCATGGCTGCAGATCCACATCTGCCCCACCATGGTCCTTCATGGGCTGCAGATCCACATCTGCCCCACCATGGTCCTCTGTGGGCTGCAGGGCTCAGCTCCCATGTCACCATGGGCTGCAGGGGAACTTCTGCTTGGACACCTCCTCCCTCTTCTTCCTCACTCCCTCGGTATCTCTGCTCAGCACTGCTCTCCCCTGCCCCTCTCCCTCAGGTCTTACAGCAGTTCCTTTCCCCTCTTTGAAGGTTTTAATCACAGAAGCACATCCAGCTTCCCTGATGGTCTTGGCCTTGGCCAGAGGTGGGGCAAGAATTGGAGCTGGGAGATCTTCCAGCAGCTTCCCACAGGAGCCTCCTCCAAGGGCTGGAGCAGCTCTGCTCTGGAAACAGGCTGGGAGAGGTGGAGTGTCCAGCCTGGAGAGGAGAAGCTCCAGGGAGACCTCAGAGCAGCTTCCAGTGCCTGAAGGGACTCCAGGAAAGCTGGGGAGGGACCTGGGACAAGGGCAGGGAGTGAGAGGACAAGGGGGGATGGATTAAAACTGGAAGAGGGAGATTGAGGTGAGATCTGAGGAAGAAATTCTTCCCTGTGAGGGTGGTGAGAGCCTGGCCCAGGTTGCCCAGGGAAGCTGTGGCTGCCCCATCCCTGGGAGTGTTGAAGGGCAGGTTGGATGGGGCTTGGAGCAGCCTGGGCTGGTGGGAGGTGTCCCTGCCCATGCAGGGGGTGGGACTGAATGATCTCTAAGGTTCTTTCCAACCCAAACCAGTCTGGGATTCTATGATTCTCTGACTTGTTCATGTGCTTTGGTTTCTACTGGCTGTAAAATGGGAGAAGATGGCTTCTTTTCAGCCAGGAAAGCTCTTCTGTTCCAGTTATTGAACTTCTGCAGCAAAGAAAATTCAATGTGCTCTTCCAGGAGAACAACCTGTGTTTTACCAAGCTGGTGAAAGGTCCAGAGAAAAGTCCTGTGAGGAGAGGCTGAGGGAACTGGGATTGTTTAGTTTGGAGTAGAGGAGGCTGAGGGGAGACCTCATTGCCCTCTACAGCTGCCTGAAAGGAGGTTGTAGGGAGGTGGGAATTGGGCTCTTCTCTCAAGTGAATAAGGACAGGACAAGAGGAAATGGCCTGAAGCTGCACCAAGGGAGGTTTGGACTGGAGATTAGAAAGAATTTCTTTACCCAAAGAATGGTTGGACAGTGGAACAGGCAGCCCAGGGAAGTGTTTAAAAGAAATGTAGATATAGTGCTTAGGGACATGATTTAAGCACTGAACGGGTAAATTAGGTTATGGTAGGGGGAATTAGGTTATGATTGGAGTTGATGATCTTCAAGGTTCCTTCCAACCAGGATGATTCTGTAATTCTATGATCCTTTCCTTCCTCCAGGCTCTTTGGAGGTTTGATCCTGGATGTGAAGAGGAAGGCCCCATGGTTCTGGAGTGACTTTCGGGATGGTCTGAACCTGCAGTGTCTGGCCTCCTTCCTCTTCCTCTACTGTGCCTGCATGTCCCCTGTCATCACCTTTGGGGGGCTGCTGGGGGAGGCGACCGATGGCCACATAGTGAGTGGGGTGGGGGAAAAACACTCCTGCAAAAGTCCCTTCTGAAGTGACTTTGGGTTTGTTTGTTTTTTTTCTCCTAATGCTTTGTTTACTCACTGTGGCCTCTCTCCCCTGGACAGAGTGCCATGGAGTCACTGCTGGGTGCATCCATGACTGGCGTGGTGTTCTCCCTCTTTGCTGGCCAACCTCTCACCATCCTGGGCAGCACTGGGCCCATCCTTGTGTTTGAGAAAATCCTCTACAAATTCTGCAAGTAAGGCTGGCTGCCATGGCTGGGTGCTGAGAACCTTCAGAAGAAGGCAGGGATGGAGAAAAGATGGGTTTTCTTGTATTTTTTCTTAGTGGTGGTTGTTAAAGTTGTCTTCTGTGTCACAGCCATGGCATGCTGGTGCTTTAGCATGTGATGGTGCAAGAGCCTTTGGTCTCTGAAGGATGGATAGGGCTGTTTGGGGGTTTTAGGATTAAAGCAAGGAGAAGGAGAAACCACCAAGATGTGGATGGCCAAAATAGGCTGCACAAGGAAGATGAGACAAATCCCTGTGGTTTGGGAGTGAGGGAGGTTTTGCTTCCCTCTGAATAACAAACCAGGCCTGAGTTGTGCTGAAAGTGAAAATACATTTTGCCAAAATAGCCAAATAGTTTTTTTCTGAAATATTTTACGTGTTGACGATTTTTTTCTTTAAAAAGTAGGAGTTTTTCATGTGCAACAGGTATTTTCCATGATAGTCCTTTAGCTGTGATGACTTTGATATGAGGTGAACCACCCTAATTGCAGTTCAATTTATTCTTAAGCCCCAACTTGCTGGCAGCAGGTGACTGGCTGCAAAACCAGCTGGTTTGGGTGTGAGGGCATCAGGGTCATGCAGGAGGACACCACCTGCCACAACAGGGACCTGACCTCAATCAGGTGTCAACACAGAGAAGTCATAGAATCATAGAAAGATTTGGGTTGGAAGGGACCTTAAAGATCATCTAGATCCAACCCCCCTGCATGGGCAAAGACACCTCTCACTAGATCAGGTTGCTCAAGGCCCCGTTCAACCTGGTCTTGAAGACCTCCAGGGATGGGCCATAACTGTTAAATAATGATAATTAAATAATGGGCCTCTCTTCCTCCACCCTGCACCACAGACTGTCTGTCGCAGAGCGTGGGAACCGCATTTACCATCCTCAGCCTCCTCAGGCTCCTGGGTTGCTCCCAGTTTTCCCCAGAGGAGGGCTGGGCTGGGAGCCTCTCTCACTGGCCTTCCCACCCTGTGGTTTGTTTGGCTCCCCAGGGACTACACGCTGTCCTACCTCTCTCTGCGGGGGTGCATTGGGCTCTGGACAGCCTTCTTCTGCCTGGTGCTGGTGGCCACGGATGCCAGCTGCTTGGTGTGCTACATCACCCGCTTCACCGAAGAAGCCTTCGCCTCCCTCATCTGCATCATCTTCATCTATGAGGCTCTGGAGAAGCTGATTCACCTGCGAGAGGTCTACCCTGTGCACATGCACAGCAAGCTCGACTTCCTCACCATCTACTAGTGGGTTTTTTTCCTCCTAAAACGCCGCTGCCCCTTGGCAGGGGCTCAGGGCTGCCCCTCATCGCCCTTCCCTTACCCCTGGCTTGGCTTCTCTCCTCCCAGCTGTAAGTGTGAGGCCCCCACCCATCCCAGCAACGAAACCCTGAAGTTTTGGGGCAGCAAAAAGATCAACGTGTCTGACATCGCTTGGGAAAACCTCACGGTGACTGTAAGTGCCCCGAGCCACTGCCTCCTCCTCCTGCTGCAGCCACGGGGTCCAGGGGCATTTGCATGGTGCAGAACTCAGAGCCCTTCAGGGGGTGGTGGGCTTCAAACCCTGCTGGTGCTGCTGTGAAAAGGTGCTGCTGAAATCTTATGTGTGGGTTTAACCAGCTTGGTCATGGGAAGGAGAGTCCACCTTGTCCAGTCCACCTGGTCCCCAACATCATGGGTAGTAACTGTCCTCCTCAACCTGGCTGCAGGACAGTACTTGTGACTGGCAGGAAGGTGAAGGGGGTGGTTTGATTGCTGTAGCTGTTGGAGGACTTCAATTCATGCTTGAAGCTAGTAATTGGCTTCCTTAATGGGTTCCTAATAACTCCAGGCCTTGCTTGCTTGCTCAGTGCTGTCTGTAGTGCAGGCAGAAAGGTGTATGTATGAGTAGCCTCTGGGGCTGGAAGCAGAGCCCAAGCATGGGATGGGATGGCTCCTAGAGACATCTTCATCCCCTCTCCATCCCCCCTCCTTATCCCCTGGAGGAGTGGGAATGAGTCCTGTGAGACCTCTGCTGGGATGGATGATTTGTCTCCTGTCACATTTGTCTTAGTCCTTCCCGTTTGCCTCTTCCTCTATCCCCAAGAGTTCCCAGCCTCTTCTTCCCCTCTGGTGTCTTCTTCAGCCACACTCACTCACCACTCAAGTGGAGGATGTGCTGTGGGTCTGTGCTGTGGTCTTCCCATCACCCTCTGCTCTCCTCTGAGTGGTTCAACGTGTCACTTGTTCAGCTGCTGCTGCTCATTAAATATGAATCTCCATCAGCAGCAGCGGTCACAAGGTGATGGACCTTGGACCAAGATCCTCAAACCCCCCTGGTTATCCAGGGCTTCCTTGCTGCACATGCTCTGCCTTTGTGTCCTGACCTCTGTTTCTCCAGGAATGTCGGTATTTGCATGGAGAGTTTCAAGGACCTGCCTGTGGACACAATGGCCCCTACACACCTAATGTCCTCTTCTGGTGCTGCATCCTCTTCTTCTCCACCTTTGTCCTGTCGGGCTTATTGAAGAAGTTTAAAACCAGCCGTTACTTCCCAACCAGAGTAGGTAGAAGATGCTGACCAGCAGCAGACTCCACACTCATTTCCCAAAATGGCTTTCCTGGAGCACTAAGCAGTGTTTGCCATGACTTGGTCAAGCTGGGAAATGTTGACTTTGAAGGCCAAGCTCTCCTTCAGTTTGGGTGTCCCTCACTCATTTGCATGAGTGCAAAACAATCAGGATTTTCCACCTGCCTCAACACCTGCCCAGAGTGATGTTTTGCTCAGTGGGAAATCAGGTCTTCCAAAGTGGTTGATTTTTTACCCCTCCTGTGCATTAAGTTCTCAAGGGGAAAGTTGATTCAAATGAGGAGCTGCCATAGAAAAGGACACAGTTTCTTCCTTTTGAGGAACAAACGGTGCCTCAGTCCCATTTTAGCTGAGGTATCATAGAACCATTTGCTTTGGAAAAGACCTTTGAGATTATCAAGTCCAGCCTGTGAATGTGGCTGTCATGGCAGACATTCTGCTTCCTTGGTTTTGAATATTTTTTAAGGTCTGAATTAAACCAGACCTTTTCCACCTAGTTAAATGTTTTTTTAAAGTCTAACATGAGATCTCACAGGGACAAACACAGCAACAGTATCTAACCAAGGGATTTGGCTGCATTTCCTCAGAGCAATGGGATTTTGTTACCCAGCCCTGATGTTGTTGCTGTCCCTCACTTTCCCATCTCGTGTCATGGCCCCGTTTGTGGTGCCCCTTTCAGCTCTGGTTTCTTGCCCCAGGTGCGGTCCACAGTAAGTGACTTTGGTGTTTTCCTCACCATTGTCTTCATGGTGCTCATTGACTTGATGATTGGGATCCCATCACCGAAGCTCCAGGTCCCCCATGTGTTCAAGGTAATGGGGGTGTTTGGCCTGGAGTGGGTTTCACCCCATGCTTGTGTTCCTGGTGATGCCTCAAGGTGACACCAGGGCAGGACAGGGCTGAGCCTGGGAGAGATTGTGGTGTGACCATCTCCTCTTCCACTTCCAAGTGCATCGTTTCCCTCTGGAAACTAGGAGCAAGCCCCAAAACTAGATACCTGTGGGAGAAGTATCTGTAGGTGCTTGCAAGGAGGACTCTGAGTCCTGCAGGAGAGGGTGATGTGGAGCCAGGGCTGGATATGCTCTGACACAGGAATGCAGGGGAAAATCAAGGCCAGTGAGGTGGGCGGGCTGGGCAGTGATGCTGCTGTGTGTGCTTTGCTGCAGCCCACCAGAGACGACCGTGGGTGGGTCATCAGCCCCATAGGACCCAACCCTTGGTGGACGGTGTTGGCTGCGCTCATCCCAGCCCTGCTCTGCACCATCTTGATATTCATGGACCAGCAGATCACTGCTGTTATTGTGAACAGGAACGAGCACAAACTGAAGGTGAGGGGCTGCAAGACATGACCCCATCCCCCAACCCACTCCAGGCTGCAGGTATGGGGAGAAGCTCCTACTCCAAATGCTTTCTGCAGGCATTGGTTTGGGGCTGTGTCGGGCTGTGTGTCAGGATGCTGTCCTGGATTACTGAGGACATAGGGAGCAAATACCAGGGGAGTTCAGATGAGGAGTCTTTCAGAGCAGCAAATTCATTTTAGAGCAGTAGAGAATTGTGTTTCTGTTTCAAAATGTCAGCAGCAGTTGGGGGAACAAATAATTTGGATGTGCTGCCAGGAGTAACTCAGAGTCACATCCTACTTGCAAGTGGCAAACAGTGGGTTGTTTTTTTTCAGAGAACCAGATATCACAAAAAAACCCTTTGTCTGAACTCCTGCCAGATTTTCATGCAAGGTGCTTGCACGAAGACTGGACACATTTATTTCCAATTCTTGTTTTAAATTGCCAAGAAGTTGACTCGCACACAAGTAGGGTTGGATTCTCACTTGTGACGTGGTCCTCACTCTTGTGCAGCAGGATGCTCTCTGGTTCTTGTTTCTTTCCTGCAGAAAGGATGTGGGTACCACCTGGACCTTTTCCTGGTGTCTGTGATGCTGGGCGTGTGCTCTGTGATGGGAATGCCCTGGTTTGTGGCTGCCACTGTCCTGTCCATCACCCACGTGAATAGCCTCAAAGTAGAGTCCACATGCTCAGCTCCAGGAGAACAACGCAAGTTTCTGGGGATACGAGAGCAGAGAGTCACTGGCCTTATGATCTTTGTGCTCATGGGCTGCTCTGTCTTCTTCACTTCTGTGCTAAAGGTAAGAGGGAAATACAAAACACCCAACAAGGGTGAGGTTTCTGGGACGTTACACAAAAATAGTCTCATCTCTCCAGGCCTGAGTAGTAGTGAGCAGAGGAGGAGGTGATCCCAAACCTTGGGGCTTGACCCACAGTGGGAACCAGGCTTGGTTGCCCTTTCCAGACCCTCAGCCCCCAGTTTGGATGTTTGAGGCAAGTGAGCAACACAACTGCTTGAATCTTCAGGGGTCTGTTGGCTCACCCACATTCATGGGGTTTAATGAAGCATATTCAGAACAGTACATCTCCTCTCTTTAAAACTGGCAGCACCTGATCTGTTGCAATTTGCTCCCCCAAGTGCCTCAGAACAGCCGTTTCCAGGAGCTGAACACACTGGAATCATCCCCATGGGCTTCGTCCCATGTTCCTCCCACAAAGTTATCTCAGCTCTGGGTAGAAGGAGATGTGTCACTTTGTGTGATGCCACAAGAATGTCTTGAGGTGTTTTCCTGCCATTGCAGAACGTGACATAGGAGAGCATGGGTGAAATCACCTCTTTTTCCTCCAACCTTTCTGGGAAATAGGATTATTCTGATGAAGTGTTACTCAAATGTTCAGCCGAATGCAGAGCATCAAGTCCCTCACACGCACAAAATTCCTCCTGGTTAAAATCTGACACGTCTCAAACCTTGTGGAAACTGGAAAGCTTTTGGCAGTTTTAGGCAGTGACTGTAGAAGAGAGTGGTGATCCTGAAAATGCAATTTAGAACCAGAAATGATGACATTCTTTTTGTTCCAGTTTATCCCCATGCCTGTGCTTTACGGGGTCTTTCTCTACATGGGTGCGTCGTCGCTCAAAGGAATTCAGGTACGGCCTCTTTTCCAGGGTGCAGCATGTCTGCTCCCTGGTATTTCAGCTCTGTGGAAGCAGGAGCAAAGCAGTGGTGTGGGAAAAAGCCTCTCTGGGAGAAAGAAATGGAAATAATTTGTAGAAGACAAAGATTGGTGGAGGCACAGGAGGTTTATGGGGCTGGGCAGCCCAGAGAGCACTCTCTGTTTCATGGATTAGGGCAGGTCAGTGTTTGGTTATGTGAGGATGGGGGATTGGGTGCAAATGGAAGGTAGGTTCTGGCACTGGTGGGAATCCTGGCTGGGGGATTCAGTGGGCCAAGAAATGCTGATTATAGAACAATGTGGGGCAATTGCAATTGGGTGGGCAGCACCCATGGGCAACCTGATTTATAGGTGGAGCGACAGGGAAATGGGTGCTGCTCCCCAGGGGAACGCAGTGAGATCCAGGATTTCTCATTGCAGCCTGCATCCTGGAAACTCCCTCCACATCTCAACAGGGTCAGAAACCTTCCACGGGCCCCAGGTGGCAACTTTCCACTTTCATTTTGCAGTTCTTTGATCGCTTGAAGCTGTTTTGGATGCCGGCGAAACACCAGCCAGATTTCATCTACCTGCGGCACGTCCCCTTGCGGAAGGTGCATCTCTTCACCATGATCCAGCTGTTCTGCCTTGTCCTGCTCTGGGCCATCAAAGCATCCCGTGCTGCCATCATCTTCCCCATGATGGTAAGAGCTGGTTGGGCAGTGAGATGTTGGGGTTGAGATGTAGCATCATCTCAGGCCTCACTGTCTCTTCCTTCTTACGTGTGAAGGTTTTGGCTCTTGTTTTTGTCCGGAAAGTGATGGATTTCTGCTTCTCCAAACGAGAGCTCAGCTTTCTGGATGACCTTATGCCAGAAAGCAAGAAGAAGAAGCTGGATGATGCCAAAAATCAAGCCAAAGAAGAAGAGGTAAAACTTTCTGTGGGGTGGACATCTCCCTTGGGCTGTGAGATTGTCTGTTTGTCTATCACAGTTTGTCTTTAAATGTCGGGGGAAGATCAGATGCTGGTGGCCTGGGTCTCACTCTGTAACCTTTCTTCCCTGAAGTAGCAGTGAGCTTAACACTTGAATAGAGGTATAATTTTTTAAATGGATAATTTATAATAAAGATAATGATGATGATGGAAATAATTGCTTATAGTGGTGTTTTCAACCCCCACAAAAAATCTTGGGAGTGGAAGACCTTTACCTGCTGCAGTAACAGCCAAAGCTGCCATGGGTTAGAAGGAGAGGGCAGCAGCCAATGTCCTTGCTGTGTGTTTAGTTTTTCTCTATCTTGATCAAAGACCAAGAACTTGATTTGTCCCTTTTCCATCAGGAGTCCCAGAAGATGATGGAAGCTGCTGCTGCAAATTCAGTTCAGCTGAGGCTGAGGAAGAGCAGTGACTTGGATACCCCAAAGCAAAGCAGTGACAGGTAAAGCCTCACCAAGTGCTGGGCCCCAGCAAGATGAGTTTTAAGGTGTCTGGCACAATTTTCTCTACTTCAAAGAATCATAGAATGATTTGGGTTGGAAACCTTAAAGATAATCTAATTCCAACCCCCCTGCATGGGCAGAGACACCTCCCACTAGACCAGGTTGCTCCAAGCCCCATCCAATCTGGCCTCTTTATTGACCATCCCATTGAAATGAGCAGTCAGCTTTGTGGGAGAATCAAGCTTACAGGCAGGGATGCAGGTGTTGGCAGAGCTCTGACCCCAAGCAGATTGGCTGCACAACTCATGTTTGACCCCCAAAACTTGCATCATTAGTGACTTTACAGTAGCTGGAGATCCTCATACTTAAAAATGAGGAGTTGCAGGACTGATCTGTGCCTTAAGAGCCCACTCCAGGGCTACACAACAGCACGAGCTGTTTGGATGTCCTCCCAGAACTCTTAATCCAGCAAAACCCCCTGTGCTGATGCTGATCTTTACTGGTCCAGGCCCCCCCTGTTCCTCTTGCTGATGAAAATGCTGTTGGCATCGTCAGTTCCCACCATTGCAGATTGCTGTGTAACCTCTTTGTTGCAGGGCTGATCCTTCTGACATCAATATCTCAGATGAAATGGCAAAAACAACCGTGTGGAAAGCTCTCACTATGAACACAGAGACCCTCTGAATCTGGGGAGCAAAGAGGTAAAGGATTGCACGTGGCCATGACCCTGCTTCTCTGCAGGCGATGCCTCGAGCCCACGCCGTTCCCTGCTCTGGCTGGCGATGCTGTGCAGCCAGCTCCTCTGTACCAGCTGGTGCCACGAATGGGGCTGGGTCAGCAGGACCTGGCAGGTCTTCCATTGATGAGGATCTCCCTCTTTTTGTCTTTTTCTTCCCCTAGTTTTCATGTTTAGGAACCTTGACTTTGAAAGAGAGGAGTGAGAAGGTGACTCAGGGATGTGCCAACGCAGACACGGGGAGAAACCACTTTTGTTCAGCTGGAGGATTCCCATTAAAGCCATGAGATGTTTTCAGTTCCCTCGGTGTGCTTCAGGCATTTGGTATCTCTAGACCAGCAAACTGAGGTGCACATCCCAGGCAGTGGGAGCTGGGTGTTGTGAAGCCTCCATGTGTACGTGCGTGTGTTGTTGCAGTTCTGTAGTGGTAGAGGGGCTTTAGCATTCAGTGCTGGCTTTTCAACCTCTTAATTCCTCCTCTCCTTTTTCTTTTTCCCAAATATAAACTCTGAATGTACAACATTATTTTTCTGTTATATTTGATGCATTCTCCACTTTCTTCTTCATCATGACCAGGTTATTTTTTTTGGTCTGGACTGGGGCCCTGGCTTGAATCCACTCGTGGGTGTCTCACTGGTACCAGGGCAGCAAGAGGGAGCGTCCCAGCAGTTGGGCTAAGGTGAAGGAAAAGCATTTGCTCCCTGCACTCCAGTTTTACAGCACTTTTTGGTTTTTGTTTTGGCTCTGCTGTCAGCCTGGGAGCTGCAAAATGCAGAATTCCCACCTTTGTGTCCCCTGCCTGTCACCTGAGTATGAGGGGGCACTTAACCTTGAATGCAGAGCCATGGAGCAGCCAGGCGAGGCCAGGGGCTCTGTGTCTCTGGGCTCCCTCCCTTGTTCTTCCACTTTCCTTCCTCTTACCTCCCTGAGACTCTGGGCAGTTTATTCTTCACCCCTGTCCTTGCCAAGTCTTTTCTCTCACAGGGTGGGGATGAATCAGGAGGAAAGTAGGAAGATGCCTTGTCCTTCTTGCTTCCCCTGCTGCTTTGCAGGAAGAAGCTGTTAAGCAGAGATGATTTTCAGGTTCTCTTCACGTTCTGGGGGGTTGTTGGGCTGCTGTGTCACCCCGGGCACATGCGGTTGGGTCAGGTGGCTGTGGAGCCTAGTGGAGAGAGCAACCCAGAAGAAAAAGGCCCCTTGCAACCCTCCACCTTGCTGTGGGCTCAGCACCTGCTCCAGGCTCTTGGTGTGTGCAGCCGGTGCCCCCTGCCTGGCTGGGACAGGCACAGGGATCCTCCTGCTGTTGGCTCAGCCCAGCCCCTGCAGGAGCATTTTCTTGTGTTCAACCAACCCAAAATGACGAGGGCAAATTGTTGCGCCTTGCAAATGGGGAAAAGAAAAGATGAAGTTGCTGTGTAAGGATGGAAGTGGCACATTTTTGGGGCTGGGGTTTGACTGTTGCCAGCATGATGTGGTGACTGTTGGAGGGGGAGGAAAATGGTTTAGCTTTTCTGAGGAAGGGGGGGTAGGCAAAAAACAAAAGGCTTGGAGGAAAGGGAGGGTTCAGAGCCTGGGTTTTCTTGCTGCTGTGATGGCCAAGCACATCCTGTCGATGCTGCCTTCCTTCCTTAGTGCCCCTGGAGCTGGTGTTTGTGGTACCAGTCCCATTGCTGCCCTGCCTCTGAGATGGAGTTATTCTAATTCTGTTCTTCCTTTTTCATTTTCCTATGTGTAAGAGGAGAGAGCTGGGCTGGACTCTGCTCCCTTCTGGCAGGGACCAGGGCCAGAGGGTGGGATTGTTTTCAGCACATGCCTGGCATCTCTGCAGCTCAGGAAGGGAGAAAGAAACTCCCTGTGGCTGGTGAGGAGCAGGCAGGGTCCAGCTCCCCAGGGTCCACATCTCCCCAGGCTTTGGGGGCTGCAAAGCTTTGGCAGTTACTTATTTAAAAAGCAAACCAGGCTCCCTCAGCGTTGCCCCAGCACAGCCCTCTTTTCCATGTGAAACTTTGTTTTTGCTATTTACAGGGCTAGGCTTTTTTCTTTCTTTAGTAGTATTTTTTTTAAATTCAATGAGACCCAAGGTCTTGCTTGACCAGAGTCAGGACTCTGGGCCATCCAAAAATGTGGTTGGAACCCCCCAGACTGGCTGTGAGACCCTGTGCTGTGGCTGCCTCCCCCTTTGTATGTCAGAGACAAAACCATATTTTGGGAGGATTTAATATTTCCCTGTACAAGGAAAATTATATGGCAGGGTTGGGGGGTGGGGGGAGGAAGGAAAAACCTCTAAAAATATTTCCTGGATTTGCTTTAGGACTTAAAAAAAATAATCCTTGGAGTGACCCACAATGCTTTAGTTGGCAGCAAAGCCCCTCCCCATGGATGTGGGATGGGTGCTGGGTGTTTTCCTCTTCTTTGGTGCCTTAAAACAGCTCCTGAATCCCCCGTCAGACCCTTCAAAAGAAGTTTCCTAAAATTAAGTGGGTGGAAAGTGGGAGGGGGGATGATGGACAAAGGTAAGAAATAAGGTGCTGGCACTTTTTTTTTAAATTGTTATCATTTTATTTCCCCCCCTGCTATGTTTTATCCCCAGCACTCTACATGTAGAAATACAAAAACTATTTTTGTTTCGGAGACGCTGAAATAATATTTATTTTATTGTAAGAGATGATCTAGTTTGGAAACGCTCTGTGTTGTAAATAAAACTGAGGGGGGGGGGGAGGAAAACCATCCGCCAAGCGAATCTGTGTTACTGATCACTTCGAATCTTTGTGTGTTTGTGTCTTGTTTCTTTTTTAAATCAGATTTCTTTGGGGTTCCTTCTGTGGAACTTCCGTCAGGAACCCGCGTCGTGTGTCTCGTCTGTGACGTGTTGCTGCCTCTGTCACTGGTTTTTCTCTTGTTGACCACTGAATGTAATGGGAAAACAACACAATAAAAGGCTTGATTGTCTCCCTGTGCCACTCGGGTGCCTTTTGCAGGGTTGGGGGGGGGAGGAGTTGGAAGCGTCTCTGGAGCTTTTTAAGGGGGTTTTGGAGGTGCTGGGGGCAGTGGGTAGAGCTGATCCTGGGGGGGAATCCATCTCCCTGGGGCTTTGGGTCAGGAAGCAGTTGGGTGGGGAAAGATTTGAAATGAGGGGGTTGTGGGGTTTTGGTTGTCTCTTTAAAAAAATCAGGTTTCATTTCAAAATGTGTTAATTAAAATAATTAATGATTAATAATTTGATGATAATACTTTAATGATAATTCGATTATAATGAATGCTTTTTATTTTTCTCTGCAAGTAATTGTGTGGCAGGAAGGAGGGGACATGTCACCTCTCCCAGACCCTGGGGTGTGCAGGGAGTTCTGGAATGGGACTGAGGGGATGAAGGTGCTGGCAGAAGGGAGAAGTTGCCCCATCCAGAGTGAGCAGTTCCTCCTCCCTGTGTTTTACAGGGTTTTTTTCAGACCATTTGCAATACAATTAATCAGAATTCAATCCAGAGAGGCACTAGTTATCTTTCATATATATATATGTGTGTATATATGTATTGAAATTTCTTCCCAAATCCCCTCTGTACAGGGCTGGGAGGTCAAGCAGGCTCCCTAGTGCCCTTTTACCTAAAACTCAAGGAATTGAACCCAAAAACAGGGCACATAAGCCAAGCTGTGGGGCAAAGCACAGGGATCAAAAATCCCCCAGGACCAGCAGCACATGGGATCCCAACTGGATGCCTGGAAGGGTTGGAGGCATCAGGAATCAGCTCCTGGATTTAGCAAAGGTTTTATTAAAGATGTCAGGAAAGCCCCAGGATCTGCAGCGCCACAGGAGCCGTTACAGAGAAGATAAAGCTGGAGATGTCCAGGTTTGAAGGGAAAGCTGATCTCCCTGTTACAGAGAAAATGAAGCTGGGGAAGTCCAGGTTTGAAGGGAAAGCTGATCCACAGGTGAGGATTTGAGGGGGAAGTGACTGGGAAGCACTGAAGGGTTAACATGGCTGTGTGGGATGGATAAATCCTTCCCGTGGAGTATCCGCAGGGATCCGAGGTCCCCAGGCTGATGCTGCTGGAAAGCCCAGGCCTTGATCTGCCATTTAATTGTACCTTAAAATTAAAAAGCAAAGAAACATCAAACAGCTTAATGGAATAGAAATTCCTCCTAGAATCAGTTTAGGAGCTTTGAGACTGCGGTGGCGAGTTTTTTGTTTGCAAAGGAGCAACGGTCTTGGAGAGGGGAGATTTAGGTTGGACATGAGGAGGAAATAAGTGTGAGGGTGGTGAGACCCTGGCCCAGGTTGCCCAGGGAAGCTGTGGCTGCCCCATCCCTGGGGGTGTTGAAGGGCAGGTTGGATGGGGCTGGAGCAGCCTGGGCTGGTGGGAGGTGTCCCTGCCCATGCAGGGGGGGTTGGATCTAGATGAGCTTTAACGTCCCTTCCAACCAAAACCATTCTATGATTGCTTTGCTTTGAGGAGGACAAAGTGTTATAATATCTCCTATAAATGCACATGATCCCACCATCATAATGTTGAAATGAAGTGCAAAACATGGTGAGAAAAACCACCAGGTTTCCCTTTCAGAAATTATTACCTCCCCACTGCAAATAGCTTAATTTTCCTTGTTTTATGACAAGTAAACATCAGGGAAGTCAGCTGAGTCAGCAAAAATGAGCAGCAATGTCAGGCCTAGGGAGCTGCTCTCTGCACCAAACCTGCTTCTTTGTGCCCTTGTTTTGAAATGATTCATTTGTGCAGTTTTAGTTCACAGTGTTTGCCCTTTGGGATGACTTACGTGAGTGGTGGGAACATGGCTGGGAAGGGGTTGCTGGGGGGCTCCTCCTTCATGTACCTCTTTGAGGAGCTGCTGAAAACAGGAAAACACATGGAGAGAAAACTTCCAAAAGTGAATTTTCCACTGGGTTAGGGAACTTGAAGCATGGTGGGAGGTTCTTTCCCAGCCTGGTCCAATTGCCCTCCCCATTGGTACCTGTACTGCTTGGTGTTGATGAGCCAGTGCACGAAGTCCTTGGCCTTCATCTTGTCCAGGTAACGGGTGAAATCACTGGTGAAAGTCCCTTCCGAGTGTCGCTTGATGTTGGACACGAAGCTTTGGGCACTTTGGGACTCATATTCCTGCCATCTGCTTGGGAGGAAAGGATGGGGCAAGAATATAAGGTTCAATGCACTTCGTGGCATCCTGCATCCTCCCTGCAGGAGGTGCCCAGAGGTTGTGTTCTGTAAAGTACTTTACTGTGTGCAGCAGCCTCTAGAAAAGCTACAATAATACATAAAATCATGTTCAGTTTCAGGGTGTTCTGCCTTGCCTGGCCAGGGCTGTTCCTGACGACAAGCAATATATATATAATATAATATCCTGGCCCATGTTGTCTGCTCCATGTCTTGCTCAGCTGCTGTGGGTTTGTGCCTCCACCTGAGTCCCTGGGAAGGAACAAGGGGCTACCTCGAGGTTTAGATCAACCTCTGCCAGCTCCAGAAGAGCTGATGTTGGGGTTCCCTCCCTTACCTTCACCTGACAGAAGGACCCCAAAGGGTTTTCTTCCCACCAGCCATGGGTGCAGGGTTCAGCCCCATGGCCAGAGCATCACCCATCCTGGCTCTGCCCCACCATGTCCCTGTGCCTGTCCCTGGTCTGACACAGATGAGAAATCCTGGGGGGCACATGACAACATCCCTGGGCTGCTGGGGGGCAGCTCAGCTGGGTAAATACAAGAGGCACAGGGCAGCAGTGGGGCTGCCCCAGAGCTGGGAAGGGACTTGCAGCAGCAAGAACAGGAGGGCTGAGCTCCAACAGCCCCTGCCCAGGCCAGTTCTGCCAACACCTCCTACCTGGACGTGGCAGCTGAGTCCTTGGGGCCCACCTGCCACCCGGCAGGGATCAGCAGGGCCAGCACCAGCCCCGAGAGGCACAGACACCCCGTGCTCAGCATCCGGCTCCCTGGGGAAGGCAGAAGTCAAGATAGAAACACTAGGTGCTGCAATCACCACTGCACCCCCCCAGCCTGTGCACAGAACAAATCCAGCATCAGTCAACCTCCTTCCCAGTGTCTTGGCAGCATTTTGATGGTACCTATGAAAACTGGATCTTCACAATCACCTGTCAGCACATCTACTGTGGCTTAGGTGCAGGCACACACAGCCACAGGAACAGGTTTGTATCACCCAAAGATATAACTCACTGCAATAAACTTGATCACAATCCTCCTCTTTTCTATCTAGGAGCAATATTTCTGGCTTCAGCTTATCACCAGAATGCTGGAGAGCTTTCCCAGCAAAGCAGCTCTCTGAAGAGTTGATTAATTAGAGTTTCACATTTCTTACCTTTGCTGGATGCATTTGCAGTTCAGGGGGAGTAAAACACCAACCCCCTTGCTTTATTTCCTGAAAATCAGACTCGAGGTTTCCTGTCCCCCAGCACTTACATTCCTCTGGTTTAATTTCTTCAGAGACTGGTGGTAAAGAGAAGAGGAAAAGGCACTTACCTTCTGTACAGCCAAGCGATCTGCTAAAAGCAAGATCCTATTTTCTTCCTTCGAGCTGGTTGTGGCTGAACCCAACTCCTTCCCAGGGCTTTTAAGCTTGTTAGCAGGATGCTAAAAGCTGACAGGTAGGTCACTGGTGCTCCTGTTTGCAGCTGGATGGGTCATCATGAATCATTACACGATTTTTTAGGTGGGGCTGTTGCAAAAAATACAGTTGTTGCCACATTTTTCAGCTTACGTCTTTGGTGCAAGGGTTTTTTTGGTTGTTGATGCCATTTGTCTGATCTTTTCTGGTTTTTTTCCACTTCTTGGGCCAAAGGAATGACCTGTTGGTTTCCCATTTTCAGGTGACCTGGCCTCTTATTGCCACAGTGCCTCCTGCATGGAGAAATGATGTCTCTGTCCTTTCAAACACCTTTGGTTTGAGTTGAAAAACATTAAGAAAAAAGAAAAAGCAAAAAAAAAAAAAGTCAAAGAAGCATTTGGGTACCCAAGCTGCTGCTTTCTGCAGTGGGAGGTTGAGGACACAGCTCCTCAGCTGGACAGATATATGGTGATCCAAGCCTGGGCTTGTTCCCCATGGCCAGATCCAAAACTGGGGCCATTCACCATCGTTTCTTCCACGTGGGGGTGACAGGAGGCACCGTGGGCAGCTGCAGATCTGGGTCAGTGCTTTTCCCAATGGGACACAGAGGCTCCTCTCAAGAGCTGGAGGAACATCTGGAACTCATCAGGGCAAGGACAATAGTTTTGCAGGGATGTCTGCTGGGAACTTCCCTCATTTTTTAAAAATCCTCGAGTCCAGCAAAGGAAAAAAGACTTGAGAACAACAAAACTGGGGGTAGACTTGAAGACCCAGAACTGGCCCTGGAGGGGAAGGTGCTGACAGCTCCAGATGGACATGGAGCAAAACCCTCATCTCTCTGAAGATGCTGGGAGGTCAGATGAACTTTTGAGGGCTGCTGATTTGGAGGACTGATGGCAGGCTGCATCTCTGGGGCAGTTTTGAGATACTTGGGGAGCTCTTAGCTAAGGAATGCCTATAGTTCAGTGCTCAGGGGGGCTAAATGTGCCCTTTTCACAGCTGGATGGTCAATAGGCAGAGAAATGCTCAGGAAACTGGGCCATGGTTCTCCCTCACCCAACACAAGCTGCCAGAAGGCTCCAAGTCCTGAGTGCTCCACCACTTACTGTCCTCTCCTCTTGGGACCCTTCTTCTTGCAGTTGGGTACTTATTATTATTCCACCAAAGAGATTTTCTGTAATTATTGTCACTGTCAAAATACGGCCGGTGTTCAGGGGATGCTCACGTTGAAGAGCCTTTTAATTAGGGCCAACAATGGCCTAATGAGAAAGCCTGACATCAGAGAAGGAAGGTAGGAGATTAATTAGCTCAACCTTCAGAGGAGAGGTCCAGATCTCCCACTCATCACTTGGATGGGATATTTCTTAATACCAACAAATTAGCTGCCAATGTCATTGTATGAAATATTCCCATGGCCCAGAAAGGCACATCAGTGACCCACAGTGGTGGGGGGCTCTGGAGAAGACAAAACCAGTTCAGCCAGCACAGTGCATGTCATGTTGCTTCTTCATTTTCTTAATCATGCCTCCCAGTGTTGGAGTGGGTTGATGTGTCCCACAGGACAATTTCTCTGCTGCCCATGGGTGCTTTTCACAGGCCCATTGAGATGCAATGGTCTTCCCTTCCTAAGGGTCCTCTGTGGTCTTTCTCTTTCCACCTGGTTTGAGTTGCTGGTGGGTCCCCCAGCCCTGGGTGACAGCACGGGGGGGGGGACATGGACCTGTGTTTTAATACGTACGGGCAGATCTGGAATTTGTTCAATTTAGGACTTGGAGAGGTTTTTACGGACAGCAGGTGGCAGCCTCCCCCTGCCTGTCCTCCCTCTGCATCCTCCTCTGCCTCCTCCTGTCCGTCCTCCCTCTGTCCGTCCTCCCTCTGTCCATCCTCCCTCTGTCCGTCCTGCTCCTGCCCCCCGGTACTCGCAGCCTTCTCCTCTCTGCTCAGCAGGTCCCCAAACCTCGTTTGTCCCTGCCAAGACCAGAGCGATGCGATGTCCTGCCCTGCGGGGGTGGAAGACCCCAGGCTGAGGGATGCTGTGGGTGGCAGCACGGTGATGCCCCAGCTAGTTTGGTGGGTTTGGGTTCAAAACCTTGCTCTGTAAACTTGTTAAACTGGAAGAGGGGAGATTTAGGTTGGACATCAGGAAGAAATTCTTCACTATGAGGGTGGTGAGACCCTGGAACAGGTTGCTCAGAGAAGTTGTGGCTGCCCCATCCCTGGAGGTGTTGAAGGGCAGGTTGGATGGGGCTTGGAGCAGCCTGGGCTGGTGGGAGGTGTCCCTGCCCATGTAGGGGGGTTGGGACTAAATTGTCTCTAAAGTCCTTTCCAACCCAAACCATCGATGATGCATCTTTAGAGAAGCACCTCTGAGGATAAAAGAGCATCCTGCACTGATGGAGCATGGGCCAAAGAAGCTGATAACGGAAAACTCCTGGACCACCAACCCTTAGATCAACTCATCCATAACCCAGCCAGCCTGTGCTGCACTTTCCTATTGGGTTCCCCCCAGGACTGGCCATGTGTTTGATCTGCCCCCCTCTGCCAACCATGGGGAGAGGCAGGAGGAGCCAGGCTGCTCTGATGGGGATGGTGGGATGTGGCCTTGCTGGCTTGTCCAAGATCAGGCTGGAAACAAGGTGAGTTTATGCTTAAACCTGCTCTTAAATCACAACACAGACCTTCCCAGCCTCGTTCTGCCACCCATCAGCTCCTGCCTTGGGGCTCAGTTTCCCTGCCTGGAGTGACAGGGTCAGGCTGACGTGCTTTGGTGCCTCGATTCTCCATGCAACAGTCTGAAGGCAACCACAAAGTCACCTGAGATACACCAAACTGCTCCACTAGTACTGTTCTGTAGCTGCAGATGCAGTTCAACCAAGTGCTGGTTAAATGTGGAGGGGTTTGCTGCAAGCAAGAAGGAATAAAGGCTTTGACTTCACCTTCTTGGATCCTCTGCAAAGAGACCTTTGTTTCCCACAGGGGTGCATTTCAGGTCCAACCCAGGAGAGCAGGGGATAGAAAAAGCTTCCTGTGTGTCCCTCAGACCTGCAGTTCAGAGCCAGGTACCCTGTGAATCAGTGCTCTCAACTCTCATTTTCCCCACACTGAAGGTGGTTGTGGTCCCCTCCCTCCCCACCACAATTAGAGGCAATGTTATCCTGGTGTGTCCCAGCAAGCTGCCTCTCACTGGCTGTGGCTGCTGCCCAGGCACAAGTGGGCAAAGAAAGACCTTCTGGGGTTGGTGCTTTAGTCTGCTTTTCCCCTTTGGGGTAATGCTGAGTTTTGGTTTCAGCAGCTTTGAGGCTTTTTCCTTCTGTTTTACTCTACAGATGTTCTCTAAGAGCACAGCAGAGGGGACATTACAGAAGGATATTCTGCATTCCCAGCAGGGTGTTTTGGCAGCTCTGAAGAAACAGGGATTATTTTCCTGCCTCCTTTCTCCTTTGGGCACACTTTTAAAGGTAAGAAACAGGATGTGCCTTTGATGCTGCAGTGGAGGGTCTGCAGCCTCCTGCCTTCAGCCTGGGGCTGACCCTTGATGCCAGGGAGGAAGAGTGGGGTGGGATTCAGTTCTGGTGCCCTCAGCACAAAAAGGATATAGACCTGTTGGAGAGAGGCCAGAGAAGGGCCACCAAGATGATTCAAGGCCTGGAGCAGCTCTGCTCTGGAGCCAGGCTGGGAGAGTTGGGGTGTCCAGCCTGGAGAGGAGAAGCTCCAGGGAGACCTTAGAGCAGCTTCCAGTGCCTGAAGGGGCTCCAGGAAAGCTGGGGAGGGACTTTTCACCAGAGAAGATGGTGAGAGGACAAGGGGTGATGGTTTTAAACTGAGCGAGGGGAGATTGAGGTGAGAGATTAGGAAGAAATTCTTCCCTCTCAGGTGGTGAGGAGCTGGGATGGGTTGCCCAGGGAGGTTGTTGATGCCCCAGCCCTGGAGGTTTTTAGGGCCCAGTTGGAGGAGGTTTTTGTGCAGCCTGGGCTGGTGGGAGGGGTCCCTGCTCATGGCAGGGGAGTTGGAACTTGGTGTTCTTTAAGGTCCCTTCCAACCTGAATGATTCTATGGTACAAAGATGGTGTTGAGCCTCATGACAGGCTGTGAGGGGCTCACTTGGAGTTATGAGCCCTTAAGAGTTGGGGTCAATGCCATCAGCCCCTACCAAAATCAAGCTCAGGCTGTGTCTACCCTGTGGTGGGCCTTGTTGATGGATCTATCACTTTTCTCTCTTTTCTGTTCACAGAGCAGAAGGAAATGGGGGAAGATCTCTCCTGCCCCCAGCGCCCATTGCTCCCCTGACCCTGAGCACCTTTCATCACCTCTGAATGTCCATGATACATGGATGGTGAGGAAAGGCTTTGGATGCTACAGCCAAGGTGCCACGTGGGAAAGGTGAATGTGAGAGCCTGCAGAAGTGGGATAGGTTTTGTTATTGGATAGTTGGATGAGAAACCATCTTGAACCACTACTGGACTGGGAGATGGGAAAGCTATGGGGAATTGCAGGCAGAATGCCTTGGGGTCAAGCACAGAACCATAGAATCATTTTTAGTTGGAAAAGACCTTGAAGATCATTGAGTCCAACTGATAACCCAGCCTTGCCCAGGCCACCATTGACCCACGTCCCTCAGCACCACATCTACACCACTTTGAAACCCCTCCAGGGATGGTGATTCCACCACTGCCCTGGGCAGCATTTGCCAGGGCCTGACAACCCTTTCCATGAGGTAATTGATTCCAAGATCCAACCTCAGCGTCCCTGTCACAGCCTGGGAGCTGGATACCTGGTGGGGATGCAGCTATGGTGACACTGCTGCAGGAGTGTCCCTGGTCTGCTCTGTCAGGGAGAGCTGCTGGTCCTTGGGGATCACCTGAAGATCAGAGTAGAGGCTTTTGCCCTTGCACCTGGGTGAACTGGTGCATTTTCCCTCCTTTGGCTAAAACCCCAGGAACCAGCCCCAGCAGGACATGGGGCTGAGCCCAGGCTGCCAGCACTACTGGGTGCTCAGCCCCTCCAGGGCCCACAGCCCCCCAGGTGGGTCC